ATGATTCCTCTGCTGATGCTGCGAATGCTGCCGGTGGTTCTGCTGCTGCCGGCCCTCTCCCCTGCCTCCCCCCACCACCTCCTTATCCACAGGTGCTGCCACAGTCAACACAGCAGGGGAAGGCTGTGCATCTCTCACACACCCGTTTGCTTCAGTGGAACTACCATTACGACCACCATAACCACCACCAGCAGCAGAAGTAGCAGCAGCAGCACTGGCGGCAGCAGCAGCTTCCGCCCTATCCTCCTCATCCATTAGGTCAGCCATATCAGCCCAAGACATTGACACTTTCATGCCGCTTTTCCCCCTCTCCTTCTCATCCTTAATCTCAGCCATATTCACACAGGACATTGATACTTTCATGCCGCCCACTTTCGTGCCGCCCTTCCCCCTCTCCTCCTCATCCATCACATCAGCCATATCTGCCCAAGACATCGATACTTTCATGCCACTCTTTCCTCCCTCCTGCCCCACCTTCGCCTGCTCAACCTGCCCTCCCTTCTTCCCCATCATCGTCTTACTCCCTGCACTCTCTTCATCATCCTCTTCACCTTTCCCCCCTGTTTTCACCTCCTCGCTCTCTGGGTCGCTTCCCGAGTCACTCAGCGTGAGCATTGAAACTACTTGCCCTTCTTCCTGCTCCTCCGTCTCCTCCATCCTTCCCTTCTCCATCTTGTCCATTTCCACCCCTTTTCCTTCCTCTGCACCCCTCTCTACCTCACAGGGCAGGGGAGGGTCACAGGCACCGTCCCCTGACACCACAGTCTCAGAAACACACACCTTCACAATCTCAATCACCTCCTCTTCACTCTCCTTTCCTGTCTCCTCACTCTCCCTTCCCTTCTCCCCAATCTCCCCTTCTCTTGACACATCCTTTTGTAACACAGCCCCATTCTCCTTCCTCACTGCTAATTCCTCCTTCCCATTCTCCTTCTCTCCCTTACCCTCCGCCCCCACTAGCTCGCTCTTCCCCTTGCGCTCCCAATGCTGCTCGTGCTTGCCCCCCTTGCTCTGTTTCCCTCTCTTGCCGTGTGTCTTCACCTTTTCCCCACTTCCAGCCTTCCCAGCAGCCCCACCAGCAGCAGCACCAGCAGCCCCCTCCCCAGCCATCTCTTTACCAGGATCTACACGACCACTAAGCACCGCTCTCCACCCCACCACCTTTGGTCCTCCCATTCCTCCTGCTGCTTCTGCCACCACTGCTGCTCCTGCTGCTGCTGTTGCCACTGCCAATGGTGAGTCTGCAGGATGGGTTGCTGTAGCAGCAGCAGACCCAAGAGCACCCCAGTTCTTTCCAGGAACGAACTCGAGAGCGTGAGGATTCATGGGCTTAACAGCTGGAGCAGGGGGTATGGGGGACACAGCAGCAGGGGGTGAGGTGGCTGTGGCGGCAGGGTGTGTTGTGGCTGTGGCGGCAGCGGGTGTGGGGGCTGTAGCCACAGGAGAGGATGGTGTGATGGTGGTGGGAGGTGATACTGGGGTGAGTGGGCGTGGCGGGGAAGTGGGTTGGTATGGTGATGCATGCGCGCTCAAGCCCAATCCAGCAGGTGCTGCTGCTGCTTCTGCTGCTGCAGCTGCAGCTGGGGTTGCTGGCTCTGCTGCTGCTGATTCTGCCACTGCTGCCACTTCTGTTGATGCTGATGATGCTGATGGTGTTGTCAGGCATTCATCCCCTGCAGGTGCTGCTACAGCTTCAGGTGCTGCTACAGCTTCAGGTGCTTCTATAGCCGCAGGTGCAGCTGATTCCTCAGGCTCTGGTGCTGCCACAACCTCAGGGGCTTCCTCAGGTGCAGTTACAGCCTCAGGTGCTTCCTCAGGTGTAGTTACAGCCTCAGGTGCTTCCTCAGGTGTAGGTGCTTCCTCAGGTGTAGTTACAGTCTCAGGTGCTTCCTCAGGTGTAGTTGCAGCCTCAGGTGCTTCCTCAGGTGCCGCTGAGTCTGCTGAGGCGTCACTGTGGGCAGCCAAAGCAGCAGGGTCAGTATTGGCAGCACTGCCAGATACCTCACTCGCTGCAGCAGCAGGAGCAGGAGCAGCAGAAGAGGGCAGAGGAGGGAAGTCGTCTCCAGAAAGCATCAGCTCGGCATCAGATTTGGCTGGTGCTGGAGCAGCGGGAGCAGCAGGAGAGGCAGATGCATCAGCAATTGCGGAAACCATAGGCATGGGCAGGGCATTGGGCACAGGCAGAGGCCCACCCACAGGCATCAGCACCCCCCCACGCACAGGCACTCCCAGTGGCATGTGCACAGGCATGTGCATCGGCATGTACACAGGCATAGCAGGTATGGTAGGTATGGTGGGTGCACCTCCAATTGCCGCACCAGAACCTGCAGCAGCAGCAGCAGCAGCAGCAGCCGCAGCTGCGGCGGCGGCTGTAGCGGCTGCATTGCGCAGGAACCTGGGTGGGATGAATGCCGGGCGGTTGTAGCGGTGGCTGTAGCGCTGCTGCTGCTGCTGCTGCTGTTGGCTGTACTGCTGCTGGTCTTGCTGGTGCTGCTGGTGATGGTGTGAGTAAGTGTGCGAGTGAGTGTGTGAGTGAGAGTGTGGGTGGGCTTGTGGGTGATAATAATAAGGATGATGAGGGTATGGCATGGGGTAGTGACCCGGTGGTGCCATGTACCCGTGCGGGGGGGCAATCACTGGATGCATGGGGACTGGAATCAACGGCTGCAGCTGCGGCCCAACTGTCACTGGCGCTGCTGCGACAGGCGCTGTTGTTGCTGCTGCTACAGCCTCCCCTGCTACAGGCGCTGTTGCTGCTACAGCCTCCCTTGCTACAGGCGCTGCTGCCACAGACTCTGCTTTCGGTTCCTCTGATCCTGCTGGCGATTCTACTGGTGCTGCTGCAACAGCTGCTGCAGGGACAGCTGCAGAATCAACAGCAGCGGGGGGTGCAATAGAGTTGAGTTCGGTTGAGGGAGGTGGAGGAGGGGAGGAGTTCTCACGGATCTGTGCATGGGAACCAGAGGGAATCACAGCAGCACTGGTTGAGGTAGAGGCGATGGGTACAGAAGAGGCAATTGGTGCAGTCGAAGCAACGGGCATTGTAATGGCCAGAGCCACAGAAGACGCAATGGGTGCGGCAGCGGGTTGGAAAGGAGAAGCCAAGGGGGAGAGCTTGGAGGGGCTCTGAGCTGAAAGAGGCAGCACAGATTTGGCTGGAGTAGCGGCAGCAGCGCTGGGATCAGCCGCTTTTCCACCTGAGGCTGCAACAACGGATTCAGCGGCAGGAGCACTCGGAGCAGCCGCAGGAGCAGAAGTCACGGCAGCAGTAGCAGCCGTCTGTGCTACCACCACTGACACTGTCTTCTCCTCTCCCACTTGCTTCTTCCCAACCGCTACATCACTGCCCTCTTCAGCCTGATCCTCCGTCCATCCTCCCACCTGCTCCGCCTGCTGCTGCCTCTCCCCTGTGGTTTCTGCAGTCTTGTCGCCGCTGCCGGTGGCAACGGCAGTGCTTGTAGTGTTGGCCGCGACAGCAGTGCTTGCAGTGCCAGTAGAGACAGCAGAGCTCGTAGCATCATTAGAGCTCGTGCTAGAGGCTGCCCCTGTGCTGCCTTGGGCTGCTCCTGGTACTGCTGCTGCTGCTACTGGTATTGCTGCTGCTGCTCCTGCTACTAATACTACTGCTGAGCTGCTGTTCATGCTTCCTGCAGTGGTGGCAGTGGCAGGGATATTCTCACCTGTCGTTGAAACTCCTATCGCAGATTCTGGCACCGCTGGTGCAGCAGCCAATGCCGTTTTGCCTGGTGGCAGTAGAGCTATTTCCTTCCACGAGCGGGTCATGGGGCCTGGTGGCGGGACAGGGGCCCTCTTGGGAGCTGCAGTGGCTGTAGCAGCAGGTGAGGCAGATGTAGCATCTGCCACAGCTGTAGCAGCTGCAGTGGCTGTAGCAGGTGAGGCATCTGTAGCAACTGTGGCAGGTTTAGCAAGTGCAGTAGCTGCAGTGGCTGCAGAAAGAACCGTGGTGGCAGTAGGGGCAGTGGTAGGAGGAGTTGCAGCAGGAGGGGCAGCAGCAGGACTGGCAGTGACACGAGCTGGAGCAGCAGGAGCAGCAGTCGGAGTAGCAGCAGGAGTGGCTGGAGCTAAAGCAGGAGCAGCCACACGAGTAGAAGCAGGAGAAGTTGCAGGAACAGCAGGATCACCAGTACCAGCAACAGCAGTGGAAGTAGGAGCAGAAGCAGCAGGGGACGCAGAAGTGACAGAAGCAGAAGTAGCAGCACTAGCAGCTTTAGAAGTCGCAGCCAAAGCAGCTACCTTAGAGCCAGCACTCAGTCCCCATGCATTCTTCCTCTCACCCTCTCGTACAGGCGCTGCTGGGCCCAGGGATGTGGCTTTTGCGTCCCCAGATGCAGCACCATCACCAGGAGCAGCAACAGCAGGGACAACACTATCAACGTTGGCAACAGCTGCAACCATCGGCTTGGCAGCAGAAGGAGGAGCGGCAGCAGCATGGGAAGGAGCAGCTCCAGACACAGGAGTGACAGGCAAAATCCCAGGGCCTACCTTCTGCCTGCTACTCTCCCCTGCCACACTCCCTCCCCCTCCTACTGCTGCTGTTGCTCCTCCTGCTGTTGCTGCTGCTTGCACTAGCTGCTTTGGACCAACCCGTTTGCCCCTAGCATCCCCTCCCCTTACCACACCCCTACTAGCTGCCTTAAACCCCCCAACGCCCATCACTCCTGCTCCTGCTCCTGCTGCTCCAGTAGCAGCACCTGCTGCCTTACGCTGGTGGCTGTGCTTGTGAGCGCGACTGCATGCCGTCTGCCATCCGTCGGAGTCATCTTCCTCTGCTGCCGCACCAGGTGCCGCTGCAGGGGTTGCTGCAGCAGCAACTGCGGTTGCTGCAGCTCCAGCAGCAGCAGAAGCGGAGACAGGTGCTGAGGCAGCCGCAGCGGCAGCAGCAGCAAGCGAAGGAGCGTGGGCAGCAACAGCAGCTGCTGCTGCTTCTGCTTCACCACTGAGAAGCGGCCTCATACCGGTGTCTTCTTGTGCTGCAGCTGCTACTGCTTGTGCTGCTGCAGGAGCAGGGATACTCTCAAGGATCTCGTTATCAGCACCTCCAGTGGCAGCAACTAAGCCAGTAGAAGCCTCAACCAGTCCTGAGCTGGTATTCTCTGCTGTTTCTTCTCCACCGGTGGTTGTGTTGTGTGGAGCTGCTGCTATGAGGCGATCGCCCTTGGACTGAAAGTCAAGATGAGAGAGAGGGGAGGGGGAAAAGAAGGACGCGGAAGGGGGAAAAGGGGGAAATGGGGAAGCAGGGGAGACAGAAGGGGAGGGGGAGAGGAGGAAGTGAAGGAAAAGGGGTGGAGGAGGGATTGTGAGGGAAGGGTGGGGAGGAGGGGAAAAAAAGGGAGGGAGTGATCACCAAGGCAAGGAATGTAGGGGAGGCAGCGGGGGAGATCACCAAAGCAACATAACTCTTTAAGGATAAAAAAAAAAAGCATGTTAAGGTCTGCATACATGTCAAGGCACAAGCATTGTACCTTGAGCAAGGGGCGTCGGCCTCGCTTGCGCATTATCTCCTGAATCACCTCCCTCCGCCCCTGCTCCTCGTCGTTGATGAATGAGAGCAGGTCCGACACACTGGGAGGGAGAGAAGTGAAGAGGAAGAAAGAGGAAGGGTGAAGACCGGGACGATTGACGAAGAAAGTAGACCAGTCAGCCTCCCTTGCTCCTCGTCGTTGATGAATGAGAGCAGGTCCGACATGCTGGGTGGTGATGGGGAGGTGGAGGGGAGGGAAAGAGAGGAGGGAAAGAGAGGAGGGAGGATGAAATACAAAGGTCAGGCGGCCGCCCCTGCTCCTCGTCGTTGATGAACGAGAGCAGGTCCGACACGCTGGGTGGTGATGGGGAGGGGAAGAGAGGAGACAGAAAGAGGAAAGGAGAAGAGAGGGAGGAATGAGTGAGTAGAGAAGGCCAAGCAGCCTCCCCTGCTCCTCGTCGTTGATGGATGAGAGCAGGTCCGACATGCTGGGTGGTGATGGGGAGGTGGAGGGGAGGGAAAGAGAGGAGGGAAAGAGAGGAGGGAGGATGAATTACAGAGGTCGAGCAGCCTCCCCTGCTCTTGCTCTTCGCCGTTAATGAATGTGAGCAGATCCGACACGCTGGATGGTGATGGGGAGAAGATGAAAGGGAAGAAAGAGGGGCGAAGAGAGGTGAGAGGGGATGAGAGGTGAGGGGGGAAGAGAGGGAAAGTAGGGACTCTTGCTCTCATGCGCATGCGTCTCACATCAGCTGTCTCACCTGAGGTGCCCTTTAGACGCGATGGTGGCGTCTGGCTTGGGCGTGCCTGTGCGGGCTGCCTCCTGCTGCTCCGCTGCCTTGCTCTCAAAGTACTCCAGCCACGCCGCCGCGTCCTGGGAGAGGGGGGAGAGGGAGGGTGAAAGTGAGGGTGAGAGTGAGGGTGAGAGTGAGGGTGGGAGAGAATGTGAGATGAGGCTGACCCTTGCTGCCTTGCTCTCAAAGAACTCCAGCCACGCCGCCGCGTCCTGAAAAGGGGGGAAAGGGAGAGAGAGGGTGGGAAAGAGGGTGGGAGAGAGGGTGGGAGAGAGGGTGGGAGAGAGGGTGGGAGAGAGGGTGGGAGAGAGGGTGGGAGAGAGGGTGGGAGAGAGTGTGAGATGAGGCTGACCCTTGCTGCCCTGCTGTCAAAGAGCTTCAGCCACGCTGCCGCGACCTGAGGGGGACAGGAGGGGAAGGGCAGGGTGAGAGCGAGCGAGGGTGAGAAGTTCGCGAGAGAACAGGCTGACCCTTCGCTTTTACTCACAGAGCTCAAGCAACCACGCCAATGCGTCCTGGGAAGGGAGGCGAGTAGTGGTGAGTGACGGAATGAGATTGAAGGGCAAGACAGAGATAGAAGACCAGTTGAGAAGAGGCTGACCCATACTGCCACGCTCTGGAATTACTTGCTGATAGATGGAAGTTAGTGGTGGGACTAGAGCACAGACATTGCAGGCAGTGAGTCAAGGAACCAACCCACAGCTGCCCTCGTATCATTCTCATGCCAAAACAATCCAAAAGCACGACCTTAAACTACGAGACCAGCTCGCCAGCGTCCTGAGATCATCCGAACCCAGTTTCTCCTGCAGGAAATTTCTGCGTGGTCTGCTTGCTTTCTGACGCGACTGAAACAATTTCTCAACTCACCAGCGTTCTCAGGTCGTCCGGACCAAGCTTTGCCTGCAGGATGTTGAGTGTGGTGTAATCTGCTTGTGCTGCACGGACAGCGCATACGCGTCCATGAGAGAGAGGGCGATGGCGATAGCATGATAACTGGCTGCTGTCTGAATGTGGTCGGGGCCGAGCAGGCGGTGGTTGCAGTGCAGCGCGCGGTGCAGTTAGCACAGGGCGAGGTGCCGCGCCCACCACCTAGATGTCAGTCATAGTATGAAATTATGGGGCCCTCAACTCACCAGGGTCCTGAGGTCCTCCGGGCCGAGCTTCGCCTGGAGAATATTCAGCGTGGTCTGCTCGTGCTGCACAGAGAGCGCATACGCGTCCATGAGAGAGAGCGCGATCGCAATCGCGTGGTAGCTGGCGGCTGTCTGGATGTGGTCGGGGCCCAGCAGGCGGTGGTTGCAGTGCAGCGCGCGGTGCAGGTAGCGCAGGGCGAGGTGGAGGTGGGAGAGGCCGTGCAGCATCATGGCCATGTTGATGTACGTGGCCGCGCTGTTGGGGTGCTCTGACCCGCACGTCAGGTGCAGCAGGTACAGCGCGCGCTGCACGTACCTGGTAGGGGGCGGGTGGAGGGGAGGCGGGGAGGGGAGGGGAGGAGGGAGGAGGGAGGAGGAAGGACGTAGGAGGGAGGAGAGAGGATTAAGGCCCCACCTTACGGCCAGCTGAGTGTACTGTACTGCAGCCAGCCAGCCAGCCAGCCACCTCACCGTACTCTCTGCCGCACACACCCACCTTACAACCAGCCCCGCGTGCAGCAAGGAAATCACCTTCTTGCGAGCTCCGTGTGCCGCAATCGATAGTAAAACACTGCCAGGTCGCCACAGCTCTCCAAATGGTGTCAGGGTGGTCCAGCCCCAGCTCAGTAACACACTTATCACACGCATACATACACTGCAAGGGCACATCCACCTGATGGCGAGCTCTGTGTGCTGCAACCAATAGTAGAACACTGCCAGATCGCCATCCATAGCTCTTCATTATGTCAAGGTGGTCCAGCCTCCAGCCCCAGCTCCATCCGTGAGTGAGGTACCCGAGCCGAGGGCAGATGTATCACATGCATGCATGCACTGTGCGCACACCCACCCACCCACCCACCCACCTGATGGCAAGCTCTGTGTGCTGCAGGCGGTAGTAGAACACAGCAAGGTCGCCATAGCTCTTCATGGTGTCAGGGTGGTCCAGCCCCAGCTCTCGCTCATTGATGTCGAGGGCGCGCTGCTGGTAGATGGTGGCCTGGTTGAAGTCCCCTGTGTGATACAGCACCACGGCCAGCAGGCTGTACGCCCCTGCTGTCATGCGATGATACGCCCCACACACCGCTATCAGCTTGGTGAGAGCCTGCATCAGACCGGCGAGGGGAGAATGGAGGGCAGGCAGGAGGGCAGGCAGGAGGGCAGGCAGGAGGGAGGGCCGGAGGGAGGGCCAGAGGTGGGTAAATGGGGTGGTGGGACCCCAGCTCCCTCTGGTTAGTGCGGAGTGTGTGCTGCTGGTACGCCCCTGCTGTCATGCCATGGTACGCCCCACACACCGCTATCAGCTTTGTTAGGGCCTGACATTACGTGTGGGGGGGGGGGAGGGCAGGCGGGCGGGAGGGCAGGAGGGAAATCAACTTTCACCCAGCTTGGACGCGCCAAGCAGTCGTCCCTCAATGTGCACCCCTTTGACCCACCTTCTACAGAATTTTCCCTTCGTACCACAAGAAGCTTATCTTGAATCAGCTTGCCTTTGTCGAGTGCCGCCTTGCAGGCCACAAGTCAATCAGTCACCCCATCCCGTTCCCCTATTAACCCCCTCTACCCCCTCCAGCCATTCACCCCTTTCTCTCCATCCTGTACCGATTTTTCCTACCTTAGTACCGCACGACACCGCTTCGTCAAGCTTGCCCTTGTCGAGAGCTGCCTTGGACGCCTCAAGCAGTGTGCGGCCGTCAGCTGACGTGCACAGCACGTGCTGCAGTGAAGGGAGGGTTGGGGGAGGGTGGTTGAGGAGGGTTTGGGGAGGGTTTGGGGAGGGCTTGAGGAGGGTTTTGGGAGGGTTTGAGGAGGGTTTGGGGAGGGTTTGGGGAGGGTTTGACGAGGGTTTGGGAGGGTGGTTGAGGAGGGTTTGGGGAGGGCATCAGGAGGGCTGGGACGATTGAGGACAACGCAGGAGGATTGAGATTGGCGGGGGGAACGGAAAGGGGGGTGAGGTGTGTGTGGGGGGTACGAAGGGCAGGAAGGGAACAAAGACTATGGGTAGCGTAGGTACAATACATCCCTTCCCTGGATGTGTGTAAAAGTATAAAAGGAGGAGCTGACTCTGAGAACGGGAACCATGGAGACTATGTCAGTGGCCTGGAAGGGCGTGGGCGAACTTAAGTGCCTAAAAAATCGTCTCACCTCACACTTGCCGCTAGGAGGTGAGGTGAGCATAAGAGGAGGAGCTGACCTTGAGCACAGGAACCATGGAGACAATGTCTGTTGCCTGGAAGGGCGTGGGAGAGTTGAAGTCGTACGACTTGGGGGCAATCTCAATGCCCACCTGGGGGAAGAGGGGCCGAGGGAGAAGGGTTAGGCGGGGGAGGTTGGGAAAGAGAGGGAAAGAGCAAGGGAAGTAGAGTGAAAGGAGAGAGTTCGGAGAGTATGAAAGGAAAGATTGGAAGGCGTGAGGGTAGGTTTCGATATCGAGAGGTGAGAGGGGTTGATTGGGAGGGAAGCCAGGGAGGAGAGTGGAATGTAGGGCGTGACTTGTAGTGAGAGAGAAAGAACAGAGGTTGAAGGAGCGAGAGGACAGGAGAGTCCGCCCATCCAGAGAAGCAGAGCACTCTGAGATGAGCACAGAGAGAGAGAGAGAGAGAGAGAGAGAGAGAGAGAGAGAGAGAGAGAGAGAGAGAGAGAGAGAGAGAGAGAGAAGAGAGAGAGAGAGCATGCGCAGGCCTATGAGCGCACCAAGCACTTCCTGCAAATCAATCCCAGTCCACACCCACACAATCAGGTGGACCAAAAATCACACAACAGACGCACAAGCAGGCACACAAAGAGGCCCAGCCCCAGGCCCGGCCGCCCACCCACCCCCCGACCACCCACCCACGCACCCACCCAAAAGAACAACAAAACTCCTAGCCACAGGAGAAGCAGAAGAACGGCCCTTAACACCCACCTTGAGGCAGAGCGCTCTAAGCAGCGAGAGCATGCGCAGACCCGCCAGCGCCTCATTGTCCAATTCAAACCCGAAGCGCACAGACGCAAACACGCGCACCCACCGCCACACCATGCCTCCCAGCGACATCTCCACATCCCCCTCTTGCCCCTCCTCCCCCTTGCTGCCGTCATTGGTAGCCCTTTTTTTATGCACGGACGACCCGAAGATGGTATTGAGAGTAGCAGCGATGCTGGCTGCTAGCAGGGAACGGGAGGCACCACCAGCAGCACCAGCAGCAGCACCACTACCAACTGCAGAAGCAGCAGCAGTGGAGAGTGCAGTGTTGGTGACGACTGCTTGGATGACGTGCTTTAGTGCCCGCGCCACCATCTCATGTACTGCCAAAGACCTCACGTGGGGCAGCTTGTCTGCTAGTGCAGCCTGGGGCGGCACGGGTGGTGGAAAGATTTGAGCACAGTGGGGGGGTGAGGGGGAAGGAGGTGAGGAGGGAGGACGGACGACAAGGCAGAAGAGAGGAGAATGCAAGTGAAGCGGCCTTGGCTATTCATTTTCAGCTCTCTGAAAAACAGGGGTTCAAAGAAAAAGCTGCAACTGGTCAGGCGGTTGCATTGCATGTAAAGGCCGCGAGTGTGCACAAATGAAGGCTAGTAGTGAAATTCAGCCACCACAGCGAGGGGAGTGGTGCACGAAGGGGGGACAGGGAAGGTGGGAAGGGGAGAGAATATGGGTATACACAGAAATAATGCAGCACAGGCCTGCAGGGCATGTGGCCGGCTAGTTAATCACTGGGAGGGGAGTTCTGGGTACTGACCACTTCGCAATTACATCATGCACAGGACACGTATGTGCACCCAGAACTCCCCTCCCAGGAATTACATACGTGACACGTATGTGCATTAAGTCAGTGAGTGTGCGACCATCCACAGGAAGTAGGAGAAAAAGGGATGAACATGAATCAGTGACAGTGAGATAGCAGGGGAGCAGCAGTTACGGACCACTTTGCCAAGGGATCGCATGCGCAGGCCACGGGTGTGCATGAAGTCAGTTAGGGTGCGACCGTCCACTGGAGAAAGCTCCAGAGAGGCGAAATCAGAGACCTTGAGAGGGCACACACACAGGAGCAGAGACAGCGGAGGGGAGGAAGGGAGATAACAGGAGATGAGCAGATGGGAAGGCTATTCAGAGGTCTCGAGAGCATATAATCAGCGAGTGTGTGACCATCCACTGGAACAATGTAAGGGAGGAGAGAACAAGTGAGAGAGAGAGTGGGGAACGAGGAGCCGCCGAAGGTGCGTGTGACATTAACGTGCAACAGCAACTGGGGGCTCTAGTCATGCAGAATCAGGCAGAGGAGATTCATGCAACGCGTCAAAGAATGCTGAACATTTACATGCATCTCAAAGCAAATAAGTACCACCTTCGAATGAAGGAAACAAGACGAGCCAACGAAAAAACTAGGAGATAAATGAAGCGGTGGTAGGCATGACTTCAAAAAGCCTACCAGTTTAGACAGGGCAGTGTTCCTGTAGAAGTCCTGTGCTCCCTTCTTGAGCTCAGGGACGGTCTGTGTGGAAAGGAATTGGGGAAGGAAGGAGCGAGAAAGGTATTGAGGCGTGTGGAGAAGGAAGGGAGAAGAGGGGGAGAGGTTATATGCCATAGTGCCTGCAGCAGAAAGGTTGAGAGCGCATGACAGAGTCACACAGGCCGTGTCTGCAATGCAGCAGACACAGCCTAGAGATTCAGCAGCTGGTCAATGGGCAAGAGCCTAGCCTAGAAGGGCAGAGATCATTACAAGCAGGCCGCGTCTGTCTGCTACACATCCTCTCCATGCAGAGACACAGAAGACAGAGACGAGGCTGGCTCAAGCACACTTGAGAGTCGACTCAGAACACACTTTAGAGTCAACACATAACTGCCTGCCTTGCAGCACGTAGCCACCACCCAGTGCAGAGACGCAAAGCCAGAAATGAGGCAGACATGACAGGACAGTAGAGAGTGAGGCAGCAGGCTCACCATAGCATGCAGCCCCACATCCGCCTTCTTGAGCTTCTCATACTTGCTCTCACCCAGCAGCTGCAGCAGCTCCCCCCCTTGCCTGCCTGCTGCCAGGGGCTCCTCTTGCACCCCCCCTGCTGCTGCCTCCCCCTTGTCCGCACCAGCAGTCGCAGGGACAGCAACTCCTGTATTGGAAGCATGTGTTAGAATCAGCAGTGCTGGCATCAGCAGTGCTGGCATCAGCAGTAGTGGCAGCTGCAGCTGCTGCTCCTGCCCCAGCTGCAGCACTCCCACTCTTCTCTCCTTCCGCTCCCCCTCTTTTCCTCCACTGCCTGCATTCACCCCGTCGTCTTTCTCCTTGCTTCCTCCCTCCTGAGCCCCCCCCTCTTCTGTACCCTTCTTCTCGCCACTCTCCACACTCTTCTCTTCCACCTTGGGTGGGTTCTGCAGGTGCTGCACCCAGCACGCCCCCAGCTCCCACCTCAGAATGCCATCCCCAAACACATCCTCCTCCTCCTCCTCCTCCTCCTCCCCTCCCTCCTTCTCCTCCCCTTCCTTCTCCTCACCCTCCTTCACACCCTTCTCCTCCACCTCACCCGCCTCTGCCGTTTTTGCCTCCCCAGCTCCCTCTGCTGCTGCTCCTTCACCCATCCCCATCACCTCTGCACCCTTGTTGCCCTTCTCACCCTCCACACCCTCTTTGCCAACTTCTATGGCTCCAATTGCCTTTCCCTCCATCACCATCCCTCCCTCTGCTGCCCCCTCCTGTCCCTTTACAAGCTTCTCCCGCTACAGCAGTCTTCCTCGCCATCCGCTGTTTCTTCTTTGCTTCCTCCTCCTGCTGCAGCTGGGCCAGCCCAAGAGACAGCACCCGACGCAGCGTCGCCTCAGCTGCTCCAGCACCAGTGGCAGCACCAGCGGCAGCAGCAGCAGCAGCAGGAGCAGGAGAAGCGGCCGGGGCACTCGTGGTAGCGTTGCTTGTGGTAGTGCTGCTTGAAGCAGGGCTACAGGTTGGGGCATGCAGGAGGATTCGAAGGCTGCAGCGCAAGAGGAGCAGAGTGGGAGGTTCATCCAAAGGATGCATGTAGATTACCAACCGATAACGTGTGCGCTGTGGGTGGCTCACGTTGGTGCAACATGAAGCAAGTGCAGATCGGGAACTGCTATTCAACGAGTCTGAGGTTCATTTCCAGAACTCAAAGTTCAATGCGGGCATATTGTTGAAACGAGGAAGCAAGGGCATGTGGGCGCAACACACAAAGATAAGATGGGCCAGTTCTCATACACACCGGAGCGATCTGATCAAATTTGGTCCCTGATTCTCGTGTCTTAAAGGCAAAGTCTCAAGCTTGCACACCCTGCCTCACCTGTTGGCGTTGAGTGAATTCGCGCCTGCTTCTTCTTGCTCTGGAATATCCAGCTCCATCAACCTCTCCTCCTCTTCCTTGTCCTCCTCCTTCCTTCCCACCTCCCCCCGAATCCTCTGCTTCTTTGCCTCCTCTCTCTCACCATCCGCTGCCGTTCCACCCATCCTGCCCTCCTTCCCATGCCCCGCTTCTCCACCATCGCCCTCTGTGCCATCGTGGCCTGCCTTCTTCGCCCTCAGTGCCTGCAGCTGCGCCTGTAGCTGCTGGGCGCGCGCAGGGGCGTCAGGGACGGTCACTCGTGCGGTGAGGCCCTGCAGGTGAATGATGACTGTGCCCAGGGACTCCAGGTCCTGTAAGGATGGCAATGGGTGGGAGGGGAGAGGGGAGGGGAGGGGAAAGCAGTTTGGGAGGTGGAATGTGGAATCGGAAAGAGCTTCTTAACGCACTGTCATTTGGACACCAACCAAGGCCCTGGATTGCAAGCGGACATTGACTGATTCACGGACAAGGCCCATGTTGGTGGTGGGGAAGGGGGGAAGGAGAGGGAAGGGAGGTGGGGGGGAATTGGGGAAAAAATCTGTCCTTTGTAGGAGCATGGTAGGGAGATGCAGAATGGCAGACAAGGGTGGGGACGTGGACAGCAACTCAGGTTGTGAGGTAATGGTTGCACAGAAAAAAAGTGTTGGCTCTGGAATTGGAGGGAGAGTGATGGCACATGCGTGGATCAACAAACGCAGGGAAGAAAAGTAGGCCCACTCACATGCACTGCCGTGCTCTCATCAGCTGAAATCCCCTTCAAGAGGCTCTTCGTTACCATGTCCTTCTTTTCCTCCTCCCTCTCCCCCTCCGCCACCCTCCTCCACCCCACCTCCACTTTCGACAACACCTTCCCACTCGGAACCTCCTCGCCCTTCATTACAGTCACACGCATCGCCCCCTGCTGCTGCACCAGCAGAACCCCATTTTCCACCATGGCCACGGAACCTGGCACTCCAGGCTCGGCAGCCTGAATCAGTGACACAACTGCAGCTGGGGTAACCACGTTGGACCCCGCAGCCGCTGCTGCCCCCCCAGAAGCTGCTGCAGCAGCAACAGCAGTTTTGATAGCAGCAACGGCTTGGTGAGTGGCGGTATCCACAAAGAGGGAGTGCAAGAGGAACGCCTTGCGATCCCTCACCACACGCTCCTCAGGAGTGTCGCAGGGGAGGAGAGAGAGCAACGCTAAGTCCCTAGCCCAGTCCCTGCCTGCTACCGCACAGTCTCTGCCAGCTACTGCCCTTGTAGATGAGTCTGTTTCCTCCTTCTCCTGCTCCTCCTGCCAGCCATATCCGCCACCGTCCCCTCCCCATGCCCCTTCTTCCATGGGAGCTCGGGGAAGTGGGACGGATTGGCAGCTGCGAGCGGAGGGACAACCCACGTGTTGGACCTGAAACCGTAGGTGTGTTGCCAAACTGCCACCGGGAGGGAAAGCAGAAGATGGGTGGGATGAGATTAGCCTACTCAGCAAATAAAAGCACAAGCCATGATTCTGAAGCAACAGCTACACGGCAATTGTAAGTTAACCGTGGTAGCAGTGCTGGGCAACAAACCAGTGAGGTCACTGTACCTTGTTTCTCTCGAGGAAGAGAGAGCAAGTCGTCATATGCCTGTGACACAGGAAGGAAGAGAGGGAGTTGCAGGTCAATATAGACAGGGTTTTATGCTGGACAACAGGAGTTCGACATTCACCTGGTTGTTTCAGCCGATTGTATGCTGAACAGGGCGAGATATCAACAGCAGCCTCCAAGGCACGCACTCACAATGGCACAGTGAAACCAGCGGCTCAGAGCCGCGGCTCACCTTAGCGAAGGGCTTGCTTATGAGGCGCAGAAGGCCCACGAGCGTGGTTGCGTGCAGCCTGTTCCTGGCACACAGGAACCCCTGTGTGGTGGCAACCACCAGCACTGACTTGCCCGTGCACAGCCGCACCTGCAGTCCGCAGCAAGCAAGCAGAAGGGAAGATTTTACAGTCAACTCAGAAATGAGGTGCCGAAGCTGTTCCTGGCACACAGGAACCCCTGTGTGGTGGCAACCACCAGCACTGTCTTGCCCGTGCACAGCCGTACCTGCAGTCCACAGCAAGCAAGAAAAAGTCCAGAGGCGAGAGACCCGCGGTAAGTGGGAAGAATAAAGAAGAGGCAAGCAGCAAAAGGCAGGCAGCAGGAGACAAGCAGCAGAAAACAAGCAGTAGGAGCCAGCCAGGATGACGCAAGCACGAAGAGGACAGTTACCTCAGAATTAACCAGCCGCCCTGACTTGTGGTGGAGGGGGAGAGCGGAAAAAACGGGAGTATGAGGAGCAGGGAGAAAGAGACAGGGCGCTGCCTGGGAAAGACGGGCAACGTAAGGAGGCGAGGGTGCTAGTGGATCATACCGGCTGCAACTTCCCAGCCCAGAGACGACACCCACCCACCTCTATGGGAAAGAGCTCCGCGCCCATATCCGGCATGTCCTGTGCGCCACTTTTCTCTGCCCCTTGCCCTTGGCGGACCCGCGCAGGGACCTGCGTATGGCTGTCGTGGAGTGGAGGTGGGGCATGAGGAGAATTAGCACAGTAGCAGCTGCACCAGCGTTGGGCCATGGTATCAGACTGACGCATCCCTTGATCTCTGGCCCAGCCATGTGAGCCAGGGAATCAGGAACGCAGTTAGCAGAGCTCATAGGCTGAGAAAACTCAGGAGGTTCAAGAATTGAGGTGGCCGGCAGAAGAAACAGCAGCGGCAGGAATGTTTTCGGCTTGGGGACCTCGCAGCAGGAAAGCCACTGTACTCACCTTGAACGGGCGGAGTGAGGTGAGCAGCAGACAGAAACTCATAGAACTCCCCCAGCTTCGACTCCTCAGGGAACATCCCTGTCATGTCGCCCTTCTCTGTGGCCGCTGCTGCCGCCGCCATAGCTTCTACCGCCTCCCTCTTCCCCTTGAACCGCCGCTTGCCATCCGCGCCAGTCACAAAAAGGTCCTTCCCCACCTCTATCCCCGCCTCCTTCCCCACGTTCCCCAGCTCTTTCCCAGCTTTTGCGCACTCTCTGCACCGTCCGCGTGTTGTTTTCCACCTGTCGGCCGCCCCCGCGCCTCTCCAGAAGCGCCTGCCAGCTCCCCCGCGCTTGCTGCTTCTCCCGGCTTCTTCTTGAGGAAGCTGCCGACGTCCCCCAACCCCAGCACTTTGCCGAATTCCGCCACGCTGCTGCTCGCCTCGGGGCTGGTTCATGGATGGAGGCCGAGGCTGTATCAGCACCGCCTGGATTTGCAGGCTCGGTTGCTGCCGAGCCTGCATGGCTGCCATGGTGCGGGGAACCGGACGTTGGTGCAGACGCTGCTGCAGCTGCAGAGGCAGACGGTGCTGCTTCTGCTGCTGCTGCTGCTGCTGCTGCTGCCTCTGATTTGGCCTCTGCTGCAGCTGCTGCTTCGGCCTCCTCGCGTTGCTTGGTAGAGGGTCCGAAGGCGGCAGTGCAGGACACGA